CTGGCTGATGTCCTGGAGCACGGCATATAGGCCAAGTGAACCAAGGGGGCCCTTGGGCCTTTCAGTGGATGTCAAAACATGGTCCAAGACTTCAGGCAGAAGTGTGTGAGGGTGTTTTGCTCTGCCTTGCTTGAGAAGCCAATGGGGCTTGACCCCTTGTAGAGATGGTACCTGTTCAGGTCCCCTATTCCTAGATGTTACCTACCTTTGCCACACCTAAATATCGCTATGAACATCTCAAGCTGTCTTTGCTACTCTGTTGTGATTACCCCACTGTCTTTGAAGCAGCTTGGTGTTAGAAATGCTGAGCTATGGAGCTGAGGTAATGCTGGAGAAAGCTAGTGAGGCAAGTGGCAGAATATAAAATGTAAAGGTTATTAAATTGAATTCTGCCAAGTTGTTGTACCTAGACACATTGCTATCTCAGCCATGAAGGCAGGGTTTGCAACCATGCTGCAGAAGCCTCAGATGCACTACTTCAACAATGCTTAGAAAGGCCTATTTTTGGGGTGAATTCCTACCAGTGGAGAAGACCTGTGCCTGGAGCTTGCAGAGAAACTCTTCAGGATCCCTCAAGCAAGCAAGTTCCTTCTTTCATGCCACTGCATGGATTTTGCAGCCTGCCTCTGCTGCAGAAGATGATGTTTCCAACCATGCTTCTGCCCTCCTCCTTCCATGCTTGCACCTCTGCTGGCTGTGGCAGTGGCTGGGATTCCTGGGCTGGCATTTCTTTTATTGACAGCTGTGCCAGTGTATCCCAGGCCTGGTCACTGCTGTGCCAAGGCAGATTGACTTAATCAGACTATGGTAAACTTGTTGTTAATGCTTCATGCTTCACTGGATTTGCCAACTATAGCTGCTGCAATTGCACCCCTGCTGCTTGTTTGACTGTCTGATGGCTCAGGGCCAGGAGATGGGAAGTAAAGTTAATTCTCAGCCATGAATGTAACATTAATCTTACCTTTCATTTTTTAGGCATACAGTTAGTGGATAAGGAAATAGTTTTCTTTCCCCTTAAATGTGAGGCCTCTTGGAGAAGGAGGAATTGTGAGTCTCTCTGCTGTAATTGGGGCCATCCTATTTCCCAGCACAAACCCAGTGGATGTAATACCTAGTAATGAGTGCTGGGGCCACGCTGAGACTGGGCAGGGAATGAGGACTAGCACCAGTGAAGCTTCATTTTGGACCATGCCTGGCTGGTCCACATCTACAGTTGTTTCGTAGTTGTCTCGTTGTTGGATGCATGTCTTCAGAGATGGAGGGTTGATTTCCTTGGCCTCACTTGCAGCTGTGGTCATGCTTGACTAAGTGCCATGGGTGCTGGGTCTTGTCTTGAGGGAGTGCTCTGCGCTTGCCATCACCCCCAGGCTTGCTAGGGAGTTGCAGGTCTCCCCATCTCTTGCCACTTGGCTGTCTGACAGCACTTCATAGGGTTTGTAATGGGATGTTCTCATCTTCCTTTGCACATTGTTCTTGGGCTGACGGAACTTGGGAATAATGTGTTCAGATGAGTTAGAGGCAGCCAGCCGGCCCAGCCAAGTTTGACAGTGATGAAAGGTTGTTTTGTGCTCTCTGCCCTGCCAGCAACTTCAGCAGCACAAAGCGAGACATGTGTGCTCGAGCTGTCCGTTGATGTGTTTGTAAGAGTGGCTTAATGGAGTGGATATATACCCAGCCAGGTGGCTTCTGCAGCAGTGCACGAATGAATCCAAACGTGTGCAAACCCAAGCCTTGCTGCTGCCCCGCCGGGCTCCTCTGTGAGACGGGGGCACTGTGGAGCCCAGACGCTTGGGAGCTTTCAGTTTGTACATCATGAATAGCCATCTAGTTTCCCTCTCTCTGTACTGGATCTTGATGGGATAATCAGCACTGTTTTAAGACACAGCTCCTGTATTCACATCTAGGCTTTGCAACTTCATGGCTCGTCTCAGGGCATTGTCCCCACTTGCTTTGTCCCTGTTTGTTTAAGTTTGGAGACCCATGAGCTACTTCCAGTAGATTTCTGCAGGAGCAGCTAGAAGAAGCAGGCCCACCTATACAACACAATGGTACATGTGCTTGGCCTTTTTATTTAAGGAGTCCATGCTTGCTTGAAGAAGATTTTGGTGGCCCATCCATCAAAAAGGGTTAAACAGTCATTGCTATATTGTAGGAATGAATCCCACCTGAAGAGATGAGATGTTTTTGGGGCTGGTGCAAGACTGTCAAGAGAAGAGCAGCAGTGTTCTACCATGGCCCTCCCACTTTCTCGCCTGTACACCAAGCATATTTCTGTCAACATGTTTCTCCCAAACAAATAGAGAAATGTGTGTGGGTGTGGGTAGAATGGAGTAAAAAACACTGAAGTCTTCCTCTGCTCCTGTGCCTCTCTGGGGAGGATGGAGCAAAGGTCTGCCAGCACCAGCAGCACTATGACCAACAAGGCAAGCTCAAATACCACAGTGATCAGAGCAGTGTATGAACCTGTGCAGAAAGGAGATGGGAAGGCTGGGATGCAGTTTCACAAGCATTTCTTACAGCAGCAGTCTTTACTCAAAAAATATGCGGCTCTGAAATGTTCATCCTTGCTCCTGTGCTGCTTGCCTTGTCTTGCTAGTACAGCTGTTCAGGCAGCTGTGCAGTGGACTTGTTCAGAGACCTATTGCAGTTAAAAATAACACTTCCTTCCGTCTTTTTTTTTTTTTTAAAAAAACTGTCAGGAGCAAGTGTTGCTTCTTGAATACGTGGTGGTAGAAGCACAGCCTTAGATTTGGGCAGACTGTTTGTGGCTCTGTATCGAGGTGTCTTTGCTTAGCTCTGAGCTGATAGTAGGGCTCAAACCTCTGAGTTGGATGTGTCCTTCCAGCAGGCCAGATGATGCTTGTTGTAAGCGGAAGGTGTTTTTTCCACAGTCATGCTATGAAGCTGAAGTACTATTGGGGACCACAGAAATAAAGTCTCTGTGGGCAAGATCCCCTTGCTCTATCTAATAAAAACACGTGTTCATGGCCACCCTGGGTATGTCACCTGTGAATAGCACTGCTGCCTGCAACTCAGCTGTGGCTTTTCCAGACCTGTGGCTGAAGGCAATGTTCTTTATTTATACACAAATGCCCACTGGAAGTGTTTCAGTGCTATTTAGTGGTTTTTATCCGCTTTCCTTTTCTAAAAGAAGTTGCAATAAAAAAAAGCAACAACAAAACCTTAATTGCACCATCCAGAATTGTACATGCTTAAAGTGAGTCACTATGGGATCATATAACCGTAATCTTTGTCCTCATCTCCACCCTGCTGATTGTCACTCTCCTTCCCTGAAGCACTGCTCTAGCTGTTAGGAGCTTTTGTCATCTGTAAAACACTCTCCAAGGCAGAAAGATTCAACCAAAAATTCTGCTGAATATGATAAAGGATAAAGTGTTTATCTGGCCTCTTAGTACACACAACTAGAAACTCTTCTAGGTATTTTGTGAAAATACCTGGAAGCAGAGGGACTTCCTGATGCTTCTCTAGCAGAGCATGTGCATCAATGTGAGAAGAGGGAAGGCTTGTGGGGCTGTAGCTCAGGAAGATGCATCTATCTTCTCATTTCCTTGTATTTTCCACACTTCGCGGTGATGGAAATGTTTTATCTTTGACTCTGAACCCTTTATAACCTTTCATAAATGGGTTCTTCATAAATTCCCCTTGTAGTTTAAATACGTTCTGGGGGTTTTGGGGTTATTTTCACTGTCTCTTCTAAGCTGTCCCTGTGCTCTGTTAAAGAGAAACCTTGGTCTTCCCCAGAGGTTTTGCCTGTGGAGAGCAGTAGCAGCGGTTCATACATCCCTCTGCAGCTTCGGAAGCACCTTGTAGTTCTCTGCTTCTTGCTGTACATTTCAAATGGGAGATATTCCTCTCTCGGGTCCTGTTAAGCTGCTTAGCTTGCCATTGAGGGAAAAACAAGTGACAGACCTCTCCAGTGTAAATTTTTCAGTACCCCTGCCTTAAATGCCCCTTCAGGCAGATGGGAACCCCGTGTGCAGCAGATATGCGGAGCAGGGCTCCATCCTGCAGTATGGGGGTACAGGTCACAGTTTGTCCTTGGTTCAACAAGAAGCTGATGTGTACCACCAAAAGGCTGAACCAGATGCTCTGTGTGTGTGTGTCCCTGTCCCAATATGTATGTGACTTGTGTTTTTTTTTTTTTTTTTTTTTTTGCCCCGCTGACTATCATAACAAGTTAAAAATAAACCCTGGTGTTTTTCTACAGTGTGGGCAGAGCATTCCTTTGAAAGTTCAAGTGTGAAAGTGATAGGCATTGGCAAAAATCTGCTGCTTTCAGACTGGTGCCAAAGGGAGATTGTCCCCTACCCATTTAGCTTGTCTCTGGGTCATTTTCAGCATCTCTTTAAGAAGCTATGCTTGTACCTGCCAGTAATGCTGTGATTGATCCCATATCTGGGTTCTAGGTACAAATCCAGCATCTGTACTTGAAAAAGTCAGGGAAGCTTGCAAGAGAGAACTGTAAAATGACGCCCAAGCTGGTAGAAATGCCTTGCAGCAAGAGCTATGGAGCTCAGTCTGCTCAGCTCTGGAGAGGTGTCAGTGTACATGTGCCTTTGTGCAGAGAAAATACTGTTCTCAGACTCTTTAACTTGGCAAAGAAAGTCGTAGTAAGCATAAGCACTTTTGGTTTTAGTTGAACAGTCAGTGTGGGCATTGGTATAAATCTGGGTAGAATAAAGGGTTTTGTACACAAGATCTGATCCAGTGGTGGTGTGGGCAATTCTGGTCTTAAACTAAATAGGTGGAGGTGGAGGGGAGAGTGGAGAAGGCTTTTTATGCAAACAGGGACAAAGATGTAAGTACATGCGAAAATAGACACAAGTGCAGGCGGGGGAAAGAAATGCAAGTCCAGACCTTGACTGGTAGAAAGTGCATCAGAAGTCTCCGTGTATGTATGCTCCCTCAACACTCTTAGCTCCTTTGATGCCTTTTTTAGCTCCTGATGCTAATTCTTTTGGCTTTGTTTCCCTGTTCAGTGTGTCGAGACTTCGCTGTTCTGGAAGATCATACCTTGGCCCATAATTTACAGGAGCAAGAGAGTAAGTAGCAACGATCTTTGGAACAAACTGAAGCAAATTTATCCCAACAGATATCTGGTTTTGTTTTTGCTAAGAAAAATCCTCCCTGCCTTTATTTTATTGTTATTGTTTTTAATGGAATACAGATTATTATTACTGTATTCACTGTCCTATAACACTACTCTAAATTCTGCCCCACCTCACATTGTACCCTAGAGATAGCTGCATTTCATGTTTCAGTTTTGTGCTCTCCTTTAGAGTTGAGTTTATGCCATTTATGATAAAATTGCATGTGGGAGTGCACTTGATGTTTTGTTGCTGTGCAAGGTTTTTAGAAATGACTAGCAATTTTGGAAGCTTCAAGTTTTATAGGCTGACCTGACGTACAACTAGAAGAGGTCTGTTTATTTCAGAATCAGTAGTGCCTGCCTACCTTTTGAAAGGAGGCTTCCTTCTAACATTTTGAAGTAAGGCAGCTGTACACTACAAGGGTTTAAAAAGGAGAAAAAAATGCAGAGCCAGGAACTTCAAAGTGGTGACTTTTTTTTTTTCTTCTTCCTTTTACATGCTTATCTGTTACTTTGGGTGTTTGCATTGCAGTTTCAGGTGTGGTAGGCTCTCTAATCTGCTTTGCTGGGTGCCAAGACCATTGGTGTCTCCCAGTACGAGGTGTTAATACCATTCAATTCCAGCTACTCTGCCAAGTGTGCAGCTTGCGCTGAAGTTGTGCCCTTGATGCTGGAACCTGAGACCACTGAATTAATGATGGCTCTCAGCTGCAGCTCATGTAGCCATCTTTTTATGCAGGCAGTATCCATGTATGGTAAAGGACTTGCTGTAGTTGCTCTGTTGCTAAATATAAAAGTAGTGAGATTCTGGAACCAATTATGTTGAGAGCAAGAGGAGTTTCCTCCTCTAGAGGTTCTTGAGAACAAATTAGGGAAGCATCCATTGGAACTAGTTTAGGTTCAGCTCATGCTCTCTGGCCTCTGGTGGTCCTTTCCAGACCCATTTCATTAATCTAGAGTAATTTCCCATGGCCAGAAAATGAATTTCAAAGCCTAAAATGCACTCCTTATAAACCTGGATGCGATTAAGATATGCAGATCTTGTATTGGTAACAGACACACATACACAGCCCCCTCAGTGCTGAAATGAGGCAATCTCAAGCTGCTAGCGTAATTTCAGTTCAGGACTTCCCCACCTTTAGAGATATTACATGGTGTTTCCCTGCCAAGAACTTGTCTTCCTTTCTGGCCTGGAATCTCCCTCCCACTTGCTTTGTCTTGTTCATACTGTGAAGTTTTGCAGGCTGATTTAGGGGTTCTGTCTGTGTTTATTTCCAGTTGAGCATCACTTGGCAACAAATGTTCAGCGTAATCGTCTGGTGCAACATGACTTGCAGGTGGCCAAGCAACTGCAAGAAGAGGAGGATCTGAAAGCCCGTGCTCAAATCCAGAAACACCGAAAAGACTTGTGAGTTTGGGATGAAGCTGTTGAAATGCTAGTCCCATTTGATCAGAGCACTGAAATCAGCTGCTTTGATTTGAGTTGATTGACAGTACGTGGGATTCAGGTTGATCAGCCTTTTGCTTTCATTTCCTTTTTCCTCTGGCTATCTGTTGCCACAAAAGTATCAATACTAGGCTCTGGCACAGAATAATGAGAACAGTGTGGGAGTAAGTGGTCCTGGGGCCCATCCCAGTTTAGATTCCTTTGCCTGACCATGGGAAGGAGCCTGCCTGTTCTGCCATTGGCAAAGTGGGGTAACTTGGCCACTTGTGTTGACCTTGTCCCTGGCTAAAGTCTGAGAAAGAAGAAACTGCTCCACAGAAATATACAGTGTTACAGTGAATTCTCTCTCATGAGGAAACTGCAGATATGGGTGTGTTTGCGTTGTGCCTGAGTGCTTTTGAGGCGGGATGCTTTTTGGTGTCCTGCTGCACTGAACAGCTGAAATCCCCTGCTTGCTCTTGCAGGCACTGCTGTGTGAAGTGACCTGGGAAGAGGAGCTGCTGCCCCAGGGTCAAGTGGTGGAGATGAGTGTTGGGGGACAGGCCTTTTCTTGCAGTCACTGACTTCTGCACCAGCTGTGGGAGGATATTTAATGAGCGATCCAATTTGCTCTGCAGGTTTGCTCAGGCCCTACACACCAGATTTCACTGTGGCCTGTGATTTGGCTTTTTGTGTGCCATGGCTTTTAGGCTGTGGAGCTGGTGTAGAAATGAAACATGGCAGTGCAGGGCAAAACAAGCTGTACTTTCCAATCCAGAGTTGACATTGGTGCTTTTCTTTTTTGGTTGAGGACTTTTTTGTTCTTTTGAGGGGTTTTTTTGGTTGTTGGTGGGTTTTTTGTTTGTGGGTGTGGGGTTTTTGTGGTTGGATTTTTTTTTTTTTTTGGTGAGTTTTTAGTTTGTTTCCCCCCCACTGCATCTCTTGCAATGTGTGAGATGTAACAAATGGGTCCTGTGACAGGGCTCAGTCAGATCCTGATGATGAGAGACAGCAGGATGGGGCTCCCTGCAAATGCAGGGTCTGCAAGGCAGAATGCATCTCCCTGTGGCTGTGCTGCCTCTGGCTCATGTCATGCTCTGTGATGCCACCCACCAGGTACTGTTGATGGTGGATCATAGTCCCTGGGTGGCTCATCTGGTAGAGGCAGTGATGGAGTAGCAGAGCTCTGTATTGCAGATGTGTGAGATATAGGACTGACTTCAGAGGAGCTGCTCATAAAAGGTTTGAAGCTGGGGCGTGACAAATCAGCCACTGTTTTCAATGTTCCCAGCCATACTCAGGCAGCACTGGATAGATACATGTGTGTATCTCAAGTCTGTGCTTTCTTTCAATAATTCTGTCTTCATTACCAATTAGAGATGTGAGCATGTAAACGACAACATAAAAATTAATTTTGTGTGGCAGAGATGATTCCTTTTTGTTACTTGCTGGGAACTGCAAACAATTTTCTTGTTGTAGGATCCTGTAAAATGGGATTTATGAATTTTGTGAGCCAAGTTACAGGCAGAACTGCTGATGCAAAATGTTGTGTCAGCAGCAGTTCCTGCTCCTAAAAGCATGAGCTCTTCTGCAAGAAGAGTAAAAAAAGTTGGAAGCATCCTTCTGTAATTGGATCTTTTTCTTTCTTAATTCTTTGTATGTTCCTTGTGCAAGATCAGCATGTTCTGGCAACACAATGATCCTCACTGTTGCTTTCTGTATAGTCTAGGACAGTTTGACACCGCAAGGTGAAGGGAGGAGTAAAGGGGAAGAACTGGGTGGTCTTTAGAAACAGAGAATGTAAAAAAGCTCTTCAAATATATGGGCTTTCTTCTGTCTTTCAAATCCTAGATTCTCTCAGAAAAATTTTGTGAAGGTAAATAAGAACAGAAATAACTTTTCTTCTCTTTTTAAGAATTCAGGGAAGCATCAAACCTTATTTTCATGCTTCTTCAAAAGCATCTCTCACATCTATCTGAGCAGCCTGCACACTGCCAAGCATAGTAGCAGGACTGCTAAAATAACTGTTGGAAATGCCATGAAAATATGCTCTTTCCTCATTTTGCTCCCAGTGCTGTGATGGCTCTTTTACACTTACGTGAACAGTTCCTTTGAACTATTCCCTTAAATCCTTTTATTTTTTTCTCCTCCTCATCTGGCAGCAATTAGTTGCTACAGACAGCGTGAATAGGAGCTTTCCAATCACGCTGGCTTTTTTCTTTTTCATTTTCCTAAACTGATGTAGAGTTTCCTTGACATTCTTAACACTCCTGACTGCCCAGGAATGAAGGATGCATAGGTGTGATGTTCAGGGATGGTGGTGATCATGTTGCTCTGGCTGATTTCTGGGGACTGATGGGCACTCGAACTCACACTAAAGAAACTGAAAGACAAGAAGAGCTGTCAAAAGTTCTTTAACCTATTTTCTTATGCTTGGTCAAGTTGAAACACTAGCTTATGTCGATTAATAATCAACTCTCAGTATTTAATTACCACAGAGCAATAAAACCCCAAATCTAATCTCTGTTGCTGTTCAGTGATTCTTAGAGATTGATATGGTGTATTCCAACATGCGTGTCATCAGGAACAAGAAAATCCTTCTGCTTTTGCATTACTTCTAGTGTTCTTTGCTGTGAATAGAGAAGTGATGACCTTGTTGCCTTGGTTCTGAAAGACGATTAGCTGTTCTGTCTGCTGTTTGTCTGCAATAAGATGCTAAATGCTTAAAATACAAGTCAGTTGGTGCTGATGAACTTGACACCTTATCTCTGTTCACAGGTGCCAGGGGAACTGGAGGCATTCAATGCCTTGATATGTCTGACCTTTCTAACTTTTTTTCTACCTGGATTCCTGTTCTCCAAGACTTGGGGCCATAAGGGATCCATTATCTTAGGCCCATTGACAGTCTGCTCCCCAGGATTTGCATATTCAGCTAATGTTTTGCTGGGGACTGTGCTTCCCTGCTGGTGCCCGGTTTGCCAAGGTCCCTTTTTACATGGCAGGTTTAAGGACTAGATTTGCTGCTGTGTGAGCTCATGTGTCTTTGAACAGGCCTCTCCCTGGAGTCAGGCATGCAGATGCACACGCAAAATGCCAGGTTTTATTACCTGGATGAAAGAAACTGATGTCTGAAGATATCTGGCCTATTGATAACTCCAGCCCTACAAATACTGAAATTCATGAGTGCCTTTCAGGGTGTCTCTAGATGTGGGTCAGGTTATGTATATGCACGAGTGTCTGCAAGTGTGGTGGCCTGGGAAAGGGAAGGAAATGTCATGTGACATTGACTTGGGGTTCATATGTGTTTGGGGAAGGGGATATAAATAACATGCAGTACCCAATTACAGGTCTGCTTCCAAGGAGCAGTTGCCAGAAATAAAGAAGCTTCTTTTCCCTCCTGCTGCATGTTGCTTTTCCTTCTCTATGACAGATTACTTGTTTCTTGGTGGCTTTTGTCCTCTAAACTCTTTTCTTGTTGCAGTGTCCTTCCTTCCCACCCTAAGCCACATATCCACTTTTTCTGTTTCTCTCATTCTTCACTTTCTACAAAAGCAGGCTCTGTGGTGCCACTGACTGTGCCAGCTATGCCACTTCTCTCTGTTTTACTACTGAAAGTGCTTGTCTACACTAACTAAATTAATTTCCTCCGCTCAGATCCTAGATTCCCTTCCTGTTCCTTGCCTCCAGATTTGCTAGGTGACTCATGCCCTGGTCCTTGCTCAAGCCTAGAACTGTTTGCTGCAGCCCACACAGCCCAGCAGTGACAAAACTGAACCTGCTACTCTTGAAATATTTGCTTGACTTCCATAATACCCTCTTGGTAGTGTTCCCATCACGTATCTGATCATTGCCAGCATATTCTTCAAAAGATTGTATTCTAATAAAGCAAGCTATGCTTGTTGCTGTTCTCATTCTTGTCTCCTTGCCTTTCAGTAGCCTCAATTGCAGATACCTTAGATTGATTTTTCTGAACTGTTTAGAGCTAGTCTTTGGCTCATTTTCAACAGTGCTGAAAAAAAGAGCTCTTCATCTTTCTTCTCAGATCCCCCAGCCCTTTTCTGAATTGCCCTAAAGAACTTCTGGCCGTTGTTCCAGCCTGCTTACTGGGCATCAGAGCCCATGGCAGTGTGGCACAATTCTTGCAGATGCTTTCTGTATGACGTCCCTGAAATATGGCTTTCCTGGTCTGTCTGCAGGGATGAAACTCATTTCATGTCTCAAGTATTCCAGTATCTCTTTCTGTCCCCAGTTAATGCAATTATTGTGTTGCTCCTGCATCTGCAGTGGTCAATTGCTACCTCACCCCATGTTTTGACACATAATCACTCTCTTGCCTCTTGGCACCAGTTCTGCTTTTGTGTCTCATCCCACCTCAGTGGCATTTCTCATTCAGTACTGAACTGCCACCTCCAGCCTCCACTTGGCCTACATACTGCACTTTGCTATCAGCATTTCTGCACTTTCTTCTTGGCTTTCACGTGAAAAACATTTCCCAGAAATGCCTGCATTAACCATACCCCTAAACCTTTAGCACCACCTGTACAAAAACTTCTCAGCAGAATTGGGCTGTTGGCAGAGACTCCTATGTGCTACCTTGGCCTGCCCTATCCTATAGTATGTACCTCCTTTCTTAGCAAACTGCCTATGAATCTGTCTTCTATTGCTTTATACTCTGATTGTGAATGTTTGGGTTTTCTAAATTTGACCAGCAATAAGTACAGGGTGTCCTGGTCCCTCGTGAGAATTCATGGGCTCTGCACTAATACTGGGTAATAATTCTTCTGTGTAAATCAGATGGGTTCTTTAGCTCTTTTATCCCGTTCTTCAGGCTGACTGATGCCTGTGACTTTAGCTGTCTATAATCCTTGTCTCCTTGCCTTCTAGAGAACGACAGGACTGTGAGATCGCTCAGGAAATTCAAGTGAAGCTGGTATTTGAAGCAGAGCAGCGCCGCAGGCAAGAGGAAAAAGACGAGGTAACCTTTTAAGCTGCAGGGATGGCAGGGCTATTTGTAGCAGCCCTTTCAGTGCAGGCATTTCTCAGTCATTAGCCAGGGGAGTTGACTTGCATGGTGTCAGTCCTGGTCCTCACAGATCTCAGTATGCACAGAAATTTTGGGGAGTCCTGTTACAGGAATAAGATATAGTCATAGTCCTCATACTCCCGGGTCACAAGGGTTGTTGATGCCAGTGGCCTTGCTAACGAAGAGGGCAAGTAATAAGTGGGTCTTGTTGAGGTGTTCATTGCCCTGGTGTAATTGCTTATGCAGTTTGAGATCTGCTTTCTTAAATGCAAGAAGTCAGGTACTACTTTTGGAAGAATCTTGGGTCATGATTTCTTGGTGTTTGATGCAGACTTCAGCAGGACCCTCAGTCCACCCATCCATCTCTGGCTTCTCTATTACCTTCCTTCATCTTTAATTTAGTCTTTCACAGCCTGAACACTCTGTTGCAGCTTATTGCTAGCAGATTCATTTTGTGATCTCAGAGTATTGCTCTGCTGCTGTTGCTTGAGAGTCAGCCGTGTGGTTTGTCTGTGATATTGAAAGGATTTGGCTTGTTGATGACTTCATTGTGTCAGCATGTCACATTGGGTATTCAGGAAGGCCACAGAGTGGAAGAACCTGTGTGGCTTCATTTTTGATTACACATAGTTTCCTGAGAAGTCTGAGTAGTCTTAAGATACTCAAGAAGCACCTGGTGGCATTTTCTCTGTAGTAGGAGCTTGACTACAAGGTTGTGTTTCCAGAAAGAGCCTGAAATAAGAATCTGTCCTTACTTGACAGATGCATCAGTTTGTGCAAGATCTCATTTTCTTCTTATACCATTAAGACCAAGCAAGTACTGAAAGGCTGCCCAGGCAGACTTGGAGGGGCTTCCAAGGGGAGATTGTGGCAACAAGGGTGGGAGGAACACTGGCTAAAGGATTTGTGCTATGAATGTGACCGTCTGTCTCTTTTATTGGGAAGGCAAAGGGATGCAATACTGCTCATGCTGGCTGTGGGAATTGCACCTTTCCTTCCTGCTTTACATGGAGAGCTGCTGGGATGTCAACAGTCTGACAACAGGTCCCTGCAGCCTGTCAAATCAGTGTGCTGACCATCTTGTGCTGTTGGGAGCAATCTTCAAATGAATGTGGCTGAAAGCAATGAGGGGAAGTCATAAATATTCTTTCTCTTCCTGCTGGTACATGAGAAGTTCCCAAGCGTGGCTGAAATGTGACTGTTGACTGAGTTAGGCTGCAGCTGGATACCAGGGTGTGACACTACCACATATCTTTGCAACAGGACTTCTGGAGAGCTTTAATTGATCCTGCTTCCCTTCCAGGGTTGTGTCCTGTCTTGTCCCCTGCCCCAAGTGTTATTTCTTTTGGGTGGGCTCCTGTGTTGATGCAGAGCCTGAGCAATGTGAGTGAGGGTGCACAGTGCCCCAGAGGCTTGTCAGCTGTCAGAGTAACAAACATCAGAGCCCCTTTTGTAGCCCCTGGCACAGCATCTGTGCCCATACCCTGCAGGGCATTCTGTACTACACCAGTACTGGCCACACACCGGGCTAGGCTTGTATTTGTCACACATGGGAGTGTGGTAGCTGCCCAGCGTATGTGACAGCTCCCTGGTATCAGTAGTGGCTAACAGCATTGTGCCAGTGCTCTGCTTGAGGCAGATGCAGTCGGGTACGCAGGGATTTCAGATGAAGCATTAAGCCTACCTGCTTACAAGTCCTGTTTGTAAGAAATGGTTTGTGCAGATTTGCAAGTCCTGAGCTGTTTCAGTCCTGGACATAATGTGCTTAAGCCCATATATTTATAGACTTACTGTAGTTGCTAGAAGAGGTTAACCTTGTCAGGGGAAGGAATTTTTTTTTTAATTTTATTTTATTTTTTTTGGTAAAGAGCCTGTGGCATCCCAAGGTCTTTCACAAAGCTGGTTACTGAGCAGATCTAATCTGAGTCCTGAAAAAATAGTTTGTACTTCAACACCCATCCAATGTCCTCCAGTGCTGGCTTTGCTCTGGAGGGTGTTGGCTCTTAGTTTGCATTTCAGTGATGCCTTTCCTGATGGCAGTGTATACTTTACATGCATGGCGCTCTAAAGGTCCTGAGGATTAGGGGGGCTTAAATAGCATCCAAAGGGCTAGTATGCCCTGCTGATATTTTCCAGCTTCTCTTCCTAGTTTCAGACTAGCTGCACTGACTCACAAGCTTCTGGGCCCCAAATGAGCAAGACCCAGGGAGCTGTTTGCTGTTGCTAGCCCTCGTTGGTCCATTAGTCATCTCGAAGGAAAACCAATTAGGAAAATGGAATGCTCTTCTCTTTGGCATATTGAGCAAAACTGTGACAGAAGATTAACGTCTGCAGTCCCCGCAGGGCTCCTGCCTTGTGCCTAGTCCTCTCTTCTTAACGTCCCTTTCGATTTTCTTTTCTCTGAGCCTCTGTCTGTCAAATTGATGCATTTTCCTGCCTGGCATCCTACAGCCCCTGTAAATTACAGCTAGTTTGATGTAAGTTCATAACTGTCTCTGGGATCTCCTTCCAGGGAGAAGCACCTTCAGCTGGAGACAGTCTTTGCTTCTCTTGTTTTTCTTTCCCTGGTGGGAGTCCAGGGGAGAGGTCTAGCCCACTCGTGTGAGTGGGTGTGCACTTGTGTGACTTTCATATCCTTGCTGAAAGCCTGAGGTTGCACACACAGTCCTTTCTGCCATGCTTTGGCCATTAGGGCTTTGCAGGCTTGTGTGCAGGTGGAACAGGGACCTGTGAGTCTGCCACAGGGTTGAAAGCTCAGTGGTGGGCCTGGGTAAGGTTGGGTACTCGTTGCTGACATGGTCCTTTGTGTCAACCACAAGGTTGGAAGCCCCATCCAGCACAGGGGTTGAATTTGAGAGTAACCCTGTCACTGCCATGTCTGAAAAATTAAACTATGAGGACTTTTATAATAAAGAATTTGAATAAAAGAATCTGGAGATACTTTTTAGGGACAAAAGTTAATGTCTATCTTCTTCCATTTCTGCAGGACATTGCCCGTCTCCTGCAACAGAAAGAACTTCAGGAGGAAAAAAAGCGCAAGAAGCACTACCCAGAATCCCAGGGACACACAGTCTATGAAGATAGCTATTATGCAGAAAATGGAGGTATGTTTCTTCTACATAAAGGATCAAGATCATGACGGTGTAGGTGAACCCGATGATTTGACAACTCTGTTTAGGAGATTTCCCTTATCCTAGAGTCCTGCCTTCAGCACTGTAGCATTGCATCAGTTTCCAGGATCAGGCTCAGACTTTATTCTAGAATCAGGAAATACTTATAAAATTGTCTTCTCCACTTTTTTTTTTTTTTTTTTTTTTGATGTCCTAGAAGATGGCCTGGGGGACAGGGTTATGGTGTGCGTATCTGCAAGCACACCCATGCATGTGTGTTTTAAAAGGGCTTGTGAAAAAGACAGTAGCTGATGGTACTGATAAGCCACAGTTACTTCTGTGTTACACTGCAAGCATGCAGGGGAGAAATGCAGATGAAATTCCACACTTGCATTCAGAGAGAAACAGTTCCGTGTGGTCATCTGCAATGCTGGCATGGCTACGTGTACAAAGGTATAAATGCTGGTTCATGGAACAGCTTTTCAAAAATAACACCTTGCAGGTATGTATCCAAGCATTAAAATTAGCACAACCGCTTTGAATGACTTACTGAATAACAAGGTCATCTCCAGAGAATGTCTCTGCTATGTTTATCATCTGGGACTGTATGTTGTGGAAAAGATATGACCCATAGTGCTGTATTGCTTTCTCTTGGTTGGCTTTTATGATTGAATACAGACCTTCTTTAAATTGGAAGGAGAGAATCAGAGTGTGTTTAATTATGGAGCAATCTGAGGATGGCTTTGCTGTGCACTGGTGGTGGTTCTTGTGTTCTTTCTTCAAAAGAAAAAAAATGTGGTGGGGAAGAGACGGGCTGCTTTTGTGTAACAGTTTGTGAAGATAAGGAACAAACCTCTTATTTCTCGTTTTAACATCAATGCCATTGGCAATTTTTAATGTCTTTTATTTGAACTTACACAAAGTATTTTAGTTTCAATTGGGAAGAAGTTTAATGATGGCCAAGAAAACACAAAGCACAAAACAGTAAATAAGTAGAAACTTCATGCCCACAAGTGCTGCTACATGTACAGAGCTGGGAAAGACTTTGATCGTGGAGTCTTTTGGCCAACCCGCACCTCCAGTTTTTCAGAATTAAATGGAACAAGTCCATGAAAAAATACAATGTAGGTAATAGTGTTGCTATGCAGAGATGGTAGGACAGGATGGATTTTTATAACAGAAATCAGCTGAGAAAAGCCTGTGACACTCTGAACTGAGACTGTGGTGTGGATTTGGAGAGTAGGATGTCTTGTGGGTCTAATTTTTCTTCCTGCAATAATCTGTAGTCTTGGAGGTGAGGTAGAATGTGTTTTGCCTGACCATTCATAGTAGTGCTACTCTTGATCTGCACTTCTTAAAAGCCAGAAAGGACTAGAGCAGATTTTGATGCCTGGATCTGGAATCATTATCTGGGTCCTCTGATTCCAGTCCATTGATCTGGAACCTCTTAAATACTTGGGCACCATTTGATTGGTCTTCAGCATCCTCGGTTTGTATCATCCTCGTTACTGGTGAACTTAAACAAAATAAGCCTTTGCTTTGTTTGGGTTTTAGTTTGTCTTGAGATTGAATAAAAATATATCCACATCCAGGAGGAATGTGGATTAGGGCTATTGCTCCAAAGCAATCTGAGCTCTTAAAAAGTGGAAAAATAAACATGAAAAAAGGCAGAGTTCCTCCCAGAAGTGTCTGTGCCATGAAAAACATTTCTGTGTTTGCTCAGTCACTTGCTGCCCGAGAGAGTTAACATCAGGAACTAAAGCGTGTTTATGTGGCCCCTGCGGAAGGTGCCACAGGGACTGCTGCCTGCTGAGGAGTTAATTGTCCTGAGATATCCCAAAAAGCAAATCTTCTGCTCAGGCTGTTTGGCATGGTTGCGTTACCTGCAGCAATCCTTTCACAGTGTGGCCATGCTTTGCTCTCTCACGATCTGCTCTCTGCTGCTGTATGTATTGAGCTTTCCTTAATGCCAAAAGCAGATTAATTCTTAGACCCTTGTTAGTATTGTTCAAAAACTGACTCTTGCTTTCAGGCTCTGGTCTCTGTTGTTCAGTAAGTCACTTAGATTGTTTTGTTGAATATTTGTCTTCTGTAAATCTATGATCTAAAACTGAACAAAAAAACTAACCAGTTAAGAGTAACCACAGCAGTTCCTGTTACAGTTCTTGGATTTTTAAAAAATATACCTGTTCTGGATAAAAGTCACACAGATTTGTTTTCGAGGTGGATTTTCTGTGGGCTGTATTTTTGCTGGCTCTGAAAAAGTTTTTTCTGAATAGAATAACTTGAAGGGAACATTCAGTTTCCGTGTGTGGTTTTTTTGTTTTGTTCCCCCCTTTTTCCCCTTCAAAATCTAGATGGCTGTAAGGAAGGCAGAGCTATTTATTAAAATGGCATGCTGTTCATGTGCAGTGAAATCTTTTTTGAATATTTTTAGATACTAGTAAAAAAGCCTCTCAGCAGTGAAGGAAAGTCTTCTGCTGCTGTTTCTTTTTTTTTGTTTGTTTGTTTTTTTGTTTCTCTTTTGTTTGTTTTTTGTTTGGTTGTTTTGTTTTTTTTTCCCCTCTGTAGTTCTGTTTCGAATCAGCCTCTGCTTCAAGGTAATTTTTTTCTACAGAAATACACCTTTATTCTGAAAAGCTGCTGTAGAGAGATAATAGTTCACTCAGTGCAATGATTTTATTTAGCAAATAGGTTGATTGGAAAATAAATCGATCAGCAGATTGTATGAAGGCAGACTGCTGCATCCTCTTAGCTGTGTCAGGTTTATTACTGAAACTAAAAGCAAAGAAAATTTCCGTACTGAAACTAGAAGCAAAGAATTTCTGGAAAGCACAGAGGAAACAACCCTACCATGCTGCTGAATAAGTGGCTTTTCCAGCTACATTGCTGAGGTCAGGAGCCTGGGTTTTGTGAAGTCTTATCCTGCTCTTAAATTTCCATAACCTTCTTTGCAGTCAGAGCCTAAACTTTTATTTAGGCAATGACTAAGTGCAGGCCCTGAAACTCCTGGGTCTGCAAAGCTATGTGACAGTCTGCAGTGGAAGATACTTGGATGCTGCAGCTACCCATCATCTTGTTCCTGCTTTACACAAAAAAAAAAAATTTCCATCATACTTGTCTCTTTCTCTTCTGCTTTATGTGGATCTTCTCCCCATTCGGTGAGGCTTTTTTTTCTGATGAAAAGCCTTGTGCCTGAAGCCAGGCCAGAGGCACTGGTGCTCATAAACCAGGATCCAACCTGTCCCCATGCTTGACTGCTCCTGGCCTTACACACACACACACACACACACACACACAGCCACACACCCCCATTGCCTTACCTGCATCTCGTGCCCTCCTTTGCAAGCCCTTCTCTGGTGGTTTTGGTAACCTGCAGCAGTGATGTGCCACCAGGAGCTGAGCTGCTCTGCTGGCTGTTTTTCAGCACCAATGGCATCATTAAAAGCCCTTCATCTCCCTATTGGCTTGTCCTTGTCTTAGGAGGTGTTTGGACACACTTTCAGGCTGGACCTGTGCTTTCTGCTCCAACACCGTTGCCTCTGTGCTGCCCCGCTGCTAGCCAGGCTGCCATTTCACATTGTCCCCTGTTACATTATGCAAGTATTGTATATCCTCATTATTCTTCTTTCTAGCCCTGTCATGCTTTGCCTGCATTTCTAGCTTCTTGCAACAAGCTCCTTCATCTGCATGTTGTGAGTCTAGCCTCTCTGAACCGCCATTAACCCCTGCCCCACTAACCCGCTCGTTGTTTGTCCCCCCCGTTGCTCAGAGCACCCCTGGGGTGACCCCAGAGAGCAGGTTTCTGAGCCTCGCAGGGCACACAATGGTGACAGGCACACGCGCTGGCAGAGAGAGTACCGAGAAGCACTCTCGCCTTTGTCCAATGGTGCCTCCGATCACGGGCATTCCACCTTGGAGGGTCGTCGGAGGTCTCCTCACCCAAGTGAGGTTGGTAATGGCCATCAAGAGGAGTGGAGATCAGCCAGACAGGGAAGGTCCAGGAGACATCCCAGCCTTGACCTGGGAAGAGAGACTGAGTATGGCACCTATGGCCACAGCGATATCTGGGAGCTGCAGGAGAGGAGAGCAGCTGGCCTGGAGAAGGCTTGCAGACCTCTCAGTCTTGACCTGGAGTCAGAGCATAGACTTGCAGACCAGGCACGGCGCAGCAGAAAGCCAACGAGGCAAGACAGAGAAAAGCACCTTCCTCTTCTTGAGATGGAACTGGAGGCTGAGCAGGAGACCTGGCATCGGGGCGGCAGCCAGCTGGTGCGCCCTGAAAAACACAGATCTCGTCATCAGGGCCCCTCGTCACACAGGGTGGTGCGTGATGAGAAGCTCCATGATGCTGAATCTAGAAATGATCATAGGAGGGGTGAGGAGAGAGACTGCAGAAGGGCAGGACACAGGAGATGTTCGCCCTCCCCACACGCTGTGACCCAGGGGAAGGTTGGAGACTGCCAGCGAGACTCAGGTAACCAAGTGATGGGGAAGGTGTACGTATGTGTGGGGATGGACCTTTGCATGCTCCATCCTGGTGTCTGAAGTCCGTATTGTTTCCCTTGAAGATGCTTATCTCCAGTATCCACATGCAGTGTGTACACAGTGAAACCTGGCCAGGTTTCACCTTTATTTAGTGAGATTCTTCTTATCTGTTAATGTTCTTGCTCTGTTTATTTCCTGACATGTTCCATGGCATCAGAGAGGATGAGTAAGAAGGTACTGTTGGAAATAGTGCCCTTGGCATCCTGTGTTTAAGAAAAATCCGGACAAAAAACACTAAAAAGCAAGCAACCAACAACCAACTTCTGTTTTCATGATATGTTTTGTGCTGTGATCTGCTTGCACAGGAGAAAAAAAAAAAAAGCTAACAAAACCCCAAATGTTATGATTATGCTTGTGTTTTGTTGATTTGGGATGCAGGGTTGTAAGTGTGGACAGTTTGCTTAAGCACTAACAAGCTAGCAATTTCCATGCACTTCTTACTGAAAACCCTGCTGGCAACATAATCAATTCACTTTGGGCAAAGTTGAGTAGTGGAACTAAGTGTCCAACTGGACTCTATTTGTAAAGATGGGGTTCTTGTCAAATTCTGTACAAGTGGATTTTTTGGGAAAATGTGTACCTGTATAGTTCCTATTGCTCAGTAATACTTGGGGACTGGTGGATTTTAAAGATCCAGATCTATCTTTCTGCTTTTAAAACCACACTGGGGGTGGGTGTGACCTGCCTCTTAGAGAAAGTCAGAGTTTAGAGACTTGGATCTATGCCTGTCACAGCCTGGGAAACTTGTGCTTTGAGCCATCTAACTGGTAGTCTTGCCTGGATAAGGTGGGGATGATAATGCATGTCTGTCTCTGGAGGTGCTGTGAGAATTATTCTTCATCTTCATCATGCAAGTGTTTTCTTTAGGGAAGTGGCAGGTGTTAATCAGGTCTTTCTATATAATCAGTAAGTTGTGATTTGCCCTGATAAAGTGTGGGTCTGAGTGACTCAGTATCCCATCACAATGAGTCAAAATAGCCAGATGCTCACATCCTCTTCCTGTGGCTTGTGGTCATGGTGGGCTTTGTGCTCCTGAGTGTGGGCAGAAGTGATGTGGAAGTAACATTTATTGCTGTCTTCTGAGCAAATGAAGCCTGACACCAATCGGTGGAGGAAGAAAGCTCAGCCTTGAGCTGGCCAGCAAACAATTCCTGGAAGTTGATTCTTCATAGAGGTAATGCTGTACAGGAGCCTGTCAGCCATGCTGTTGTTCACTCCAGCATGGTAAAACTGTGTTTATCTTGACCTTGGAAGCACTCTGAATAATTTAACTCTGACCAAGCTGGTGGTTTTTGCCAGTTTCTGTGTTGGCCAGAGATTGCATCTCTTCACAGCTTGGATTGATCAAAGTGTGCTGGGAAAGGCTGGGTCATATGCTTAACCAGAATGTGCCAGAGCTGAAGTTTTCTTCTTATGCTAAGGTGGTTTGAAAGTGGGGTGTTAATTGCTTCAGATCACTGATCAGTTGATTCAAACAAAACAAAAAGCAGAAAACCTCACATGCCTCCTTTAATAGCTGTAGAACGGGTGGTTTCCTATTCCACGGTTTTATTCCAGGTTGATGCATGAGGTCTCTGGCCCTCTGCAGCTGGAAGTCTTTAGGGATGCTTGGTGGATGGTAGTTTGTTGGTAGATGCACAGAAAGCTTTTTGAGGTCAGTTGGTTACTTCATGTTTTTTCCTTTGGGTTTGTGATATGGAATGGAAACCGATAGGTAGCCCAGGAAGATGTAACAGGTATTTATTGTAAATGTGTAAACGGTGTAGCTGGAGGAATTGAAGTTTTGAGTGAAACTTTCTGAGTTTGAGGTGGAAGAGGGACAGACATCTGGAGTGTTTATATTCTCTGGACATAAAGCAGAAAGCTCATTTAGATGTCTGAACAATACGGTTCAGTCTGCGGATGGAAGGAGAAGGCATTCGTTGTATGTGAGTGAAGTCATGCATATCAGAGGGATACAGTGTAACTCCTTTGATGGCCTGGTGCAAACAGACTATGGGGAGACTCTCAAAATGCAACATTTTAAATCACTTGGAGATGGTTTAACTTTAAAATAAACAAACAAATAAAACTTCGTATTCGAAGCAAAAGCTGAACCTTGTATGAACTTCAAATATGTTTACTTGGCTGTTTTTTCACTGTGAATTGTAAAACTTACGAGTCAGTCCAAGGAAGAAACTGTCTGAAACCACATGTGAGCCTGTCCCAGGCAACTTTTGTAGCCTGTGCTGCTCCAGCGGTGTGTTCAGACTCTGCTGTGCTCATAAGAGATGTTGGGCTGCTCTCTGCTGCACAGTTTTGCCAATGTATCTGTATCAGTGCAGACTGTGAAAAATTATGATTCTTTTGCTAGCTCCTCTGTGTCAGCAAAGACAGCAATGAGGCACCTGGCCTCTTCTGCCACATAGTTGCATTTGCCATAAAAGACATGGTGTAGCAGATATTTCTATATGCATAGAGAAACCTCCCAAAGGTGCGTGCTGCACCTCAGCTAAAGGTACTCGTACCAGCTGTCTGGCAGGTATGCTGTCATGGTCTCTGGTTCCCTTGAGTTAGGCTTTTGCAGGTGGCTGAGGAGACGGTAGGGATTTGGAAAATGGTCGAGTTTATTGTTTTCTCTCACAATTCTGTAGGCACTAAGTTGAGGGGGACGAAACAAGCCTTCTATGATACACCCCGAAGGGAACAGGAGTTGTCTGATGCAGAGATTGCTCGGAAGCTGCAGGAGGAAGAGCTCCTGGTAAGTAGAGGATGCATTAGTCAGCTGGAAGGAACTAAAGTAGCCAGTGATGACAACTTTAATTTGTAAATGCTAGTGACTTTTAAGACCTGAAGTCTTGCTACTGTGCATTCTGGTAATTACCTTTGTCTCCCATACACACGCATGGAGTGACAGCTGGCATCCAGCCAGTAGAGCCCTATTTTCTGAAATAAACACCCAAAAATAAAATGATCGAAGCAGAGTGATATTAGATGAACATTTCCAGGCAAGTAAAGATGGCCTATAGTCAGCCTGGGCAGCCCAGAAGTGAGACAGGTGAGTGCTCATCTTTAAGAGAGAGGGCAGCAGGGTGGGCAATGCGTTGTGGTGTGGACTGGCAGATAGGTGAGGGCAAAGCTCAGCTGAAAAGCTGAAATAACACTTTGGTGTTGGGTTGTGAGGTAAGTATTGAGCTAGCTTAGTATATTTGGAGAGGATGGTAGCATATTTGTATGGGCACCTACTTGTCCTGCCAGTAAGTTAATGGATATGAATAATTCAGAGGTGTTACTCTCTTGTCTCTGTTTTTATTTCCCTTTGTGTTTTTTTTTTTTTCAGGCTAATGAGGCAGATCAGAAGGCAGCTCAAGTAGCCCAAGATGAGGTGAGCAAGAAGTCAAAAGTTTGTGTTATTCTTTGACTTATGGAATCTGCTAAACCCCACTTGTCCCCTCTGACCCTCTAGTTGTTTGTTTCCTTCCTTCTAGGGGAAGCTCAGGGCTCCAGTGGGATTTGTTTCTAGCTAGTTTTCATGTGTATTCTCAAGCTGGCCAAGCAAGGTGTTGTGCTGCCTGTTGCAACCATGGCAGAGGAAGGAACTTCATGGTTCTGTAAGAGCATCTCTTGTAACTGAGCCCCAAGGGAGACTATCAGAGGTGTTGTGAGATGCACACAAACCCACCCCCATTGAAGGAAAAGGGATGAAGGACAAAAGAGCTCTGAAAACTCAGTTCTGGCAAATCAGGGATCCAATGGGCATGCTGCATGTAGTCAGTCTTAGTTCTCCTCTGTCGCTTGATTTCTGATCACAGATGGGTGAGATCCTGGCTGTGCACACTTCCCATTCAGCAGCTATCCATAGGAAATGGTTTAAATAACTCAAACCCACGAGAGCAGTAAAATCATCTGACACACTCTATTTTCCCGTCTAGGAAATTGCCAGACTCTTGATGGCTGAGGAGAAAAAAGCTTTCAAGAAAGGGAGGGAGAGAGAAAAGTCTTCCTTTGAAAAGAGGAGGCATGATCAAGACTGGAAGGTATGTCAAGCTTCAGGAGACGCCACAAATGAAATGCTATAATGTTATTCCCATTTTCAGAGGGAGGTGAGGGTGTGTGGTGAGAGCAAAAGGAATGATGCAGACCCTTGCATCCAAAGGGTCTTACTGCCTGTTATTCATCTGCTTCCTAAGCCTTTTGAAGTCACTTCCTTGGTTAGATGCTCTTTGGCTTCATCCAAAGCCAGGTAAGCTTTGGGTGCTGGGCTTAGAGGTTGGTGCTGGATGTCACAGTACCTTGTGACATCCCTCAAGCACTGTCAGTCCCCCTGGTGCAGAATCTTCCCTCTGCTGAAATCTTGAATGTAGTAATAAAAGCAGAAGTTGGTTCTGTTTGTGCACCACAGGTATAAGGACAATGCAGCTGCTCCAGTTGTGTCTCTGCTTCATAAAATCAGGTCTATAATGAAAGCACTGAGTGTATCAAGCCTGGGGTTTTTTATGAGTAATGCTACTGAGGCTTGGCTAGCCCATGTGGAAGGTGTTAGGAAACAGATTTCATGATCTGTACTGGTAAGGTGATAAAGGGTGTGTTGTGTTAATCTTGGGTCCCGTTGGAGGTAACTGATGTTTTCAGCCTCCTTACTGTGTTTGAGTGGTTGCAGGAGCACAGCTGCATGCAGCTGGTCCCTTGTGCTCAGCCCTGCTGTGTGCACAGTCATTACACTGTGCTGTGTTTGACCCCAGCTTTGGGACGGGTCCCCGAGTGCTGTCTCATATTTAGAGCAAAAATTGAGTTTGGCTCAGCAAGACTGAGTTTCATATACTGGAAAATAGTCCTCATACTGTTGTTTCTACGTGTCTGGCTGTAGTTAGTTGTGTGTATAAACTGAGCACGAAAGGACTGCATGGAGCTGTGTCAGCCTCCGTGCACTGGCAAGACACGCAGATGATCTGCTTTCTCTTCTTCTTCCCATCAGCATGATGCAAGCGAGTCCACACGCTCAAGGTCAAAAGAAGGGCCTGAAACTCAGCAACACAAAGGTGACAGGTCTTCAAGGTGAGCTTGAATGGTCTGGTAAAAAATGGGGAAATGCAGTCGGGAAACTGCTCAGAAGCTGAGTCCTAGGAAGGAGTTGTGGGGCAACCAGCCTGACTCACCTACAAGGGGCTTGGTAGAGAGCAGAGGTTTTAGCACCGAAAAGAGATGGAGGACACAGAGCTCGAGAGGTGTTCGGCGACATGCGTCACTTGCTGTGCTTGTGGCATTTGTCCATATCTGTCTCCCTGGCTGGCGCTGATGGAGATTGATGAGCTTGTGCAGTGACATTTGTTAAATGGCAGAGAAACATTGAGAGGGTTAAAGACCTTCTGGGGATGTGAAACCAAATGTCAGCCCTGGGCAGGAAGGAGTAATCACGATGCATTTGCACAGCTGCTCCCTTGGGTCCTTGCTCCCAGTTAAGCCCTGCACACTGCTGCTGCTGTGTATGGACAACCCTCTGCAAGCAAGTACCTTGTGCTTTGGATACCTCATCCCAGAGCTGATGGGAACATGCTGTAGCCCAGTACTGCTGCTGAATCACTTGGTACACTGGCTTCATGCTCCTCACAAGGGACTGAACCCTGGAAGTGACCCCAGTGACTTTAATTTCCAGTCTAGATATGAGCCTAGAAATTCTTGTTGAATTTGCAAAAGAAACAACAAATGAGGTGTGCAGATCTTATTAAAACACTTGGGGGATAAAACTGGGTAAGCATTAAACAGTTGAAAATGTTGCTCTTTTGAGTGAGGTTTGCATCAAACATAATGGAAATTCTTTGTTTCCTGACAACTTGAAACCATTATTTAAATGAAAGAGGTCCAAGAGAAGTAGTAAATACTGAGCATTTCTCACAGCAGAAACAGCAACGGACTGTGGTCAGATGAGCTGGTCTGCAGGTGGAAAGTCTGGGCCAGGCACAGTTTGCATCAAACTGACAGGGACAAACCAGGCAGCTGAGAAGTTGCTTTTGCTATGCTGTTACACCTTTGGGTTTTTTCCCCAACACTTCTTTTTCACTGTGCTTGGCAGGTCACAGCCTCTCCTTGATGACACTCGATATTACACAAGCCAGCCCAGCCCCTTGCGCCAGATCCCCAAACCTGAGCATTCTCCTAAAGGTAGGCTCAAGCCCTTGGCTGCCCCAGCACTTGGGTTCTTGTGGGCTGTTTTCCTCAAATAAGCAGTCTGCACGACAGGATGTTTGAAAGAGTGCTAATAGAGAGGAGGAGTGGGTATTATTGATCAGCAGACAGGTGATGCTAGTCAGTGTGCAAGCTGTACTTGCTGAGCACGTCGCAGGCTGAGAGACTAAAAAGCTGGTTTGCCTTGAGTTTGTCAAACTGCTTTCTGCATGTCCTCCGTGATCTCTTAATGATGAATGACTGCAAATCCAGGCAGCAAATGAAGGAGAAATAACATGAAGACAATGACATGATGGATTTTAGGTGACTCACTAGTATCAAACAATCCAATACAGGACAAAACCTCACAGTATCACCTGTCTGGCAGGCGGATGGGATGATCAGACAGAAACTTGTCCTGAGAACAGACTTGTTTTGTTCCTATAGCATCTCAGCACTGCTTTTTTGGCTTGTTTCCTGAATTAATTTGGCACAAGGGCAGTGTGGTCAGGGTCGTGTGTACCTGCCCATCCCCCCCTCCTTGTTTTTTAAATCTGAAAGCCAATTGTCTGTGTTATCTGTGGAGTCTCTGGGGTAGGAAAGGTGAAGCCAGAATTCGACTCAATCACTCAGATTTCTTGCTCCACTGATGGTGACTTAAATGTGGACAGTTCACTTCCCAAAACTTAAAGTGAAACTTTAAAGGGAAGCTTTTGCAGTATGTCATCATCAAACAAGCTGAAGAGTTGATAGCACTTTATAGAGCCTGTGTTTGCTCAGTTTTCTTTAGTGAGACTGTACCATGTGGATGCAGTGCTGTTCACAGCCTAGAATAAATGCGAATGGCTGCCTGTCTTCTAGATCTATCCTTCCTTTTGCTTGAGTGATGTAACATTTGGTTCCCATTTTGGCATTTGACTTTGCCGCTACCCTGGAAGTCATACAGACATCCAAAAGGACAGGAGAAGTGAAAGGTGACTGCAGGTAGTATCTTACTCATCAGGATTGATCCTTACAGATTTTTTTCTTTCTGTTTGGCTTTCCAGGTTCCCGTAGGAAGCACTAAACTGTGCCAGCCTTTGCTTTGGTACTGACTCTTCTGTAGCAAACATTACTGGAATTGCCAGGCAACTTTCTCGATTCCTTACCCAATGGGATGTCTACCCTCCACTCCCAGGATCTCCTCTTAAGTGTCATCATATTAATAAGGAACTGTTTGTTTCAATTTCTTACTCGTATGTGATCACTTAAGCAGTGCAGTATAATCTAGCTGCCACTGAGCTGTGTGAAGCAACTAGCTGACTTAACAGCTCTCTTTTACACTTTTTTGAGGCTTTCTTTTTGTTTTTATTTTTAAGCTTTGGCTGGAGCTTTGACAAAGAGGACAAATAGAGATGCACATACAACAGAGAGGAGAATCCAAGAAATGAATTGGGTTATGGCAATGACAAAGTATAAGTCTTTTCCATGTTACGATGACTTAGCAAAGAGTTATAAAAGGAAACATGTTTCTTGCTGTGTTGGGTAAGACAGCTGAGCCAACCTGACAGTCGTGTTAGCTTGCAGGAAGAGAGATTGCATCTTCATAAAGTGCACCAGCTAAAGCCAGAACCTGGGACTGGTGAGGAAGAAATTGCCTGTAGAATAGAATTTCTTAACTGCTGTATTTCTTTCTAGGGTTTCCAGCAATCTGGGTAGAGTATGTAACCAGGCATTTAGCTCCAGGGTATAGGATAGAACAGTTAAAAGGAAAGACAATTTCAACTGAAATTAGACCTTGTGTGCATGACTTTTAAGACATGCCAGGTTGTTGATGAAGCTGTGAGTTGTGGATTGGGAGGAACCATAGAAACAGATTTAAATGCCTGAAGGGACTTCTGTGGTCACCTGCTTTGAGCTTCAGTGTGATAGAAGCCAAGGAGTTTCATTGAAGCCAAGTAGGAACTACTGTAAATCGTAGCTCAGTTGCTGATGCGCTTGAATACAGTAACTTGTATCTGAACCTGCGTATGTCTTGGAAACATGGGGCGGCCTTATGGGCATTGAGCATCGAATCAAAAATCTAGAGTTACAGGAAACTTGGAGCTAGACACAGAGTGCCGAACAGTCCACACAGTGTCTGTGCTGACAGCTTCCCCTCTACACTGCTCCATCCAGCACCCCAGGAAGACTCCAGCTGGCATAAAACTGTTGCTCTCTAGGGCATAGCAGTGTCTGCAAGTTTAAGTTGTCTGTATAGATTTGCCCATGCAGTGATTTTTTTTTTTTTTAATTTATTTTTTATTTTTATTTTCAATGGCCTGTTTTTCCTCTGCTCTCTGAAAATCATTCTTCTCTTGCACAAGCAAGTAGCCTTTTCCCTTGGCCTCCTCTCATTTCAATTATTTTGTTTTTTAAATTTTTTTTTTTTTTTTGCTGTGTTTTTTTTTTCAGGTGCATTTTTAAACTACAAACCTGAGCATCTGGACGCTGACTTGGAGTCTGTTCAGGCAGCACAGCGTAGTTATTCATTTGCCAGTCCAGTTCACAGCAACAAGCCTGGCTGCCTCACCCCAGCAGCCCAGCGCTGAGTCTGTCCCACCACGCTCTTTGTCTTCTGCTGGCAGCTGCGGTTCTGCCGCTGGCTTTGCTGAGGGGGGGAGGCAGACCTGTGACTGTACTTGCCCTTCCCACCAATCTGCCTGGGAAAGGAGCCTTGACAGCTCTGTAGAGTTTTGTGGAGAGCACATGCTGGCATGGAGCACTGATAAGAAATTGGAAGGGATCATGGCACTCTGCTCTTCCACTGATGCGCAGTTCAAGTGCCAAGGCAGCTGTATAGCTTTAACCTTCACTGTTGTCCTTGGTCAGGATAGTTGCTGAGGTAAATCACTAGGAAGATAAGGCAACTCTCTTTTCATTAAGTTGCAGGGACAAGTTTAATACCATAGCACAAGCCCATGCCTTGCCTTGACCAACAACTCCAGAAACTTCTATCTCCTACCCCCACTGGCCTGTTGGCAGCAATTCACTGCCTGTGAAGAACCAGATAACCCCTACAGACCTCTGCTGCACCTCTGCTGCAGGCATACACTAGCCAAAAATCTTGTAACATAGGACTTTGTGCATCGGCAGCATCCTGATAGCTGCATGCTCTTGCTTCAGTACTACGAGCTTGCTCACCTGCATGAACCCTTAAGTGACTTGCAAGGTCTTGCTTGCTTGCTGCTTCTTCTCAGGAATTTCCCAGCCAGCAGCTAGATTTTACTGTCCTTGCCTTGTTCTCTCTTCTCGTTCCATCTCTGTCCATTCAGAAGTGTTAACATTGTTTTAAATGATCTGGAAAAAGAACAACATAGGCCCTATTTTTTTTCTTTTTTACTTGATAACTTGGGTCAATGTGGCAACCTCACCTGCAAAGATTTTATTTTTTAAAAATTTATTTTTGTATTTCATGTAACAGTCCAAATTTCTACTGCTGAAAATGCCATTTTTTTTTTCCTGTGGGTTTTTCCCCTCCATTGCCATCAGAGTATTTATTGTTGTGAAATGGATGCCTGGTGGGGTTTTATGAACTAATAATTTCTACAAACACCCCAGTCCAGGCCCTGCTGCTTGTATCATCTGATGCACTTGTGAAAACTGGAGGGGGAAAAGTCCTGCCAAATCAGAAAGTGATTGTGCTTTGTACTCACTGTGCATGGGGAAAAAATGGTGATCCTTCTGCAAAGGGCGAGGGGAAATCACCGACTAGGAATTTAGCCCTTCCTGGGCCTCTGTAGCTGGCTGTGAGAGGCTTTCTTGCGCTGCAGTTTGCTGATATAACTTCTGTCTTACCCTACTAGAGAAGACACAAAGGCCCTGAGCCTGATGACATTTGAAGAACCTATTGATTCAGAAGGGGTGCTTGGGAGTATCCAAGTTGTTGACTTCAATGGGAGTGAGTGGAAATGATACGAGAGAAAATTCAGGTTGATTTTTATTTGGAAGCTGGCTAAAGTCTGAAGAACACCTCAGTGCCTGCTCGGTGGAGCTGCAGGCTCTCTTTAATGGCCTCCTTGGGCCAGCCAAGCTCTCCAGCCATGGCAAGAGATGTGAGCCCAAGGGAATGATCCCAAGAACATCTGCTGCTTCCTTGGATGCCTTCAGGGAGTGCTGAATGCTTTATGGGCTGCTTTGTTCTATATCCTCCGTTAGTCCTCACCTTTTTATCCTTATTCTCCACCTTTATTCATTTGCTGTCACTTGTTTTTTCTGTCTTATTTTTACATAGCCCTTGTGAAAAGGGGGGCCCTACGGTTTTGTTAGAAGGGGCTGACACCTATTGAGAGGCAGAGAGGTGCTATCAATGGTAGCGGAGGAAAGCATGTAGAGAATGGGGTATAAACAGAGCAATTGTTCATCTAATATATCTTGTGGGCCTTGTGCAGGTTAGATACTTCCTGAGACAAAAGTTGCAACTGGGCTTTCAGGCTTAGTAGCCACTTTGGAAGGAGATTCCATGGTCCCATTGAAGTCAACAAGAGTTCAGATCATGGATGAACAAGGAGCCAACTCCTCTTGGGGCTCAGCAGCTGCAGTTCTGCCGAGAGTCAAGAAGATGCAGCTTATGTAGGCGAGATGCAAAATCAGCACCTTGCACGTGTGTGTAAAGAGACACAATGAAGTTGATCTTTCAAAAAGAAACAATCAGCAATATTTCCTTTCTATGACAGAAAAATGAATAAGTAACTGTATTTTTTCCTTGTCTTTTCTTGACAAGTTTTAGTAGCTTTGCCTATGGGTTTGCTCTGGATTTAATAGCATGTCGGAGCCCTTGCTGGGACCCCTGCCCAGGTCATTCAGGTCTTGTATCCCTTTCTGACTCTCTGTGTTAACAAGGCAACAGGCACCACGTCGAAAATTCATCACCATAAAATCCTGGCACTTCCTAATCCTCGTAGTAGGCACATCTCACCAGCAAGAGCTCTTGCCACCTCCTCACCTCCGTCCAAAGCACAACGGTCTGCAAAAGAGAGGTTGGGTGAACTGGAGTGACCGTGCCTTACATGCAGGGATACTCGATGTCTTCAGCATGCTGATCTGAGTCACCTTGCTATGAAACACTGTCTTAATGTGGACTGTACAGCTTCCTGCAGTGAGAAGCAGTTGTTGTCACGTGGATAGATCCGACAGGTTAATATCATCTTTTTTTAAAGAACTTAATGGTTTTGAACTTAGTGGGGTGGGGAAATATCAGCTGTTAGGGGATAGATGAAGTCTCATCATTGAATTGCTCCTCTTGGGGAGGAAGGATAGAAGTTACAAATGCTGCAGTCTGCTTCACTCTGTAAAAGGGATCTTGTATGTACAGTATTTTTATATCTCTGCATTCCCACCTGTCAGGATTTGAATCAGGATTAATAATATTCTCTTAAGGGAAAAAAAAAATAGGTTTTTTATTTTTTACAGTGCTAGACCTTTGTATTTTTTCATTTTGTGCCAAATTACAGCCACTGTTACATTCTAGTGTTTTCAAGTTATTGCTATTGATCAATATATATTATATATATTTTTATTATCAAGGTTTTTATTTGAATTCATCTTAATCTGTATGCAAGCTAACTGTGGATTGCTAATTTATATATAAAGGGGAGCACTTGGAGACAGTGTGAGGATTCCCCTACTTAGTTTACACTCTCGTAATCTAGCACAGCCAGTCCGTGAAACTCATCGCTTCTTACACAGAATGATCTGGGTGTCTGTCATGCTGAGCAGATTGCTGCTGCTGTTCCTCGCAGCAGCGCTGGCCCCGCAAGGCCACGTTAGATGCAGTAGGAAATTAAGCACAGCTCATAGTGTGGACTGATGGGCAACTGAGCTCTCTGCTGTCCCGCTCCTGGCAGCGATGCCAGGGAGGGGGCTGCAGGAGGAATTCTCATCTGGGGGTGACTTTGAGGTTTATTCTGCCCTGTATCCGTCCCTAGCTGATGGGCAGTTTGTTTTGCCCCGCTCTTGGGATGCTCAGTGCTTAGTTCTGCAGTTGCTTTGGGGGGTGTGTGTGAGATAGAGCGCTGAGGTGCAGCAGTGTCTCTTACATGAAGTATACCACAGTCAGCTTGTCTTCTTTTTTTTTTTTTTTTCTTTTTGGTGCAGAGGGCAGGCATAAACCTGTAGAGATCCCAGTTTACTGTACTCATTAAAACATGTGCCATAGCACGTTTCTGGCTGTGCAGCACTGCCGTGGGGGCTCTGGCCATGCTGCACACAAGTGCTGCTTGGACTGCCATGCCCAGGATAGGCTGCAGGACACAGGTTTTGTGTCAAGAAGCTGCATTGCCCTCAGCTTCTGGGCTGGAGATATATCATCAGCCATCTCCTCCCCGTGAGTAGCACAGGGCAAGGATTAGCTGTGCAGTTTGGGCTCTTCCAGGAGAGTCCCACAGAGGACAGTGGCACACACAAATTAGTATTTTCTACTTCACGGTAAACAAGTTCCACTGTATCAGTGTTCACTCTAAGTAGACTCCACGGTGTGTCTCCAGCTGCATCTGTGCACTGCAATATAGTTAATTGCCTCAGAGAAATAACTGTAATTGTCTCATTTAGTTCTTCAGGGTAAACTTTCAGCCTGTTGAATCTAAATATTAGCCATGTGATGAGATGGAGTAGTCAGAAGGCTTAAATTCCTTGGAGCTGCATGTGTACCCTGCATTGCAACAGCTCATTCTTAAATATAAATTGCGCACTGACAATAATCTGTCTATGCAAGCCTATTTTTTTTTTTTCTTACTTTTGACTGTTCACTCTAATTTTACCAGGTTTGGCATAGAACTTCTGAATGACATTTAACCAAAGTATCATGTTCGTGTGTGTGTGTATAGCATGTTTTGCTTCATACTCCTGAATTCTCATTGAATGTAAAGGGAACATTGCCTTGCCCCATTTTGTTCAATAAACCGCTGTATTTTGTTATCCACCACATTATTCTGTCCCTCTGTGTGCTTTTCTGGAAACACTGAATTGGGTTACACAAGAGCAGGAGAAAACAAAGCTTCGTTCCACCCTTGGCTCCTGGAGCTCAGCTACTTCTACAAATAATTATGTTCTTCCAATGTAATAGATGTAGCAAAACAACAAATTTATATTTAATTTGATTATTTTGTAGCTAGACAGATGGAAAAAAAAGCTGTGTAATATCTTGGAAAGGATCTGGACTGTTTTGTTTCCTTGGACTGTGATACTGAAAAATAAAGTGGTGTAATTATTTGCAAGGGTAGGATACTTCCTTTCTTTTTTGTTAATGTAGCTTTTTAGTTTGCAAAAATCCTGCTTGAACCTGCCGAAGACCAACTCCCACCTACAGCAGAGGGACAGAAGGCAAGACAAAAACATGGCAACTGCTCTGTGACTGACTGATGTCTTCAAAGGCATCATCTGAGGCTGCAGCCACATGCAACTCAAACACAAGCAGACACGAAACCATTTCCATGTCATGAATTCAATTTGTGACTGAACATGCTAAAATAAAGGGGAGGTTACTAAATAGAAACTGGATCTTGAGTCCAAGCTGTAAACCTTTCTTAAATGTTTATTCTTAAATGTTATTTCCCTCTCCTTGTCAAGTATAACCATTGCATGGGGAAGTAGAGAGCCCTTTCACACCCCACTGCAGGGTGCACCAGCCTCTCCTTCCGTGGGCCAGGGGCTTTCCTTCCCCAGGGGCTTGGGTCTGTGCAGGAGTGTGCATTCTGTCTCCAACCAACCTCAGTTTGGGGCTTGATTAGGGGCTGTGTTACAGCACTACCCCTGTACTTTCAAATGCCTTTACATTGTCTTTACCTCCTACCAACTCTATCTCATAGTCCCTTAGGTATTAGCTGTGAGTGGAGGTAGGGACCAGTAAAATAGATAGAAAATTAAAAATACTAAGACATGGCAAACAGTAGAAGAGCCTGGTTGTAAAAACGGGGCATTCAGAATTGCCAAGAGCTCTGCCAATTTACAGCTTATTGCAGTCTCTTGTCTGAAGTGACTGGCTTGGTTTGTTTTCTTTGAAAGACTGCTTTCATGCCAGCCTTGGCACTTGTTGAAGCATTAAGCTGTGGTGAGAGGGGGGCCAGCTGGAGCCCTGAGTAGCATCATTCACCTGCTGCAGGGATGTGCACACAGGGGACTGTATATGGGAACCACAAAAGGAACACTGAAGAGCCCCTGGGGACATTTTTTTTTCTCCTCTTTCTTTTTTTTTTTTTTTTTTTTTTTTTTCCCCCTGTATCAGAGGAATTACTGATCTCAGGGTTTCCAGGTCAAATGCAGCTCTCAAACTGCATGGATGTGGGTGGCACTGGTGGTAGACCGAGGTTCCCCAGGTATCTTTAGCCTGTGAGAGAAGGTAAGCCAGTGGAGACTGCTTAAAGACACCATTGCTGGGTACTCAGCATGCCCCTTTGGCTGTTCCATCCTGCACTGCAAGGAAGGAGTTGCAGGTGGCAGCTGCCATCTTTCAGCTGTGCACATGTCCAGATGCTCATCTTCCACCCAGGTCCATGCTGTGTGACTGGGGGATCTTGCCCATGAAAACTTCAGCGTATGCTGCTCATGGCTTGGGAGGGGTGAGCACTGCTTACAGGCTGCCTAGGGAAGGGACTGCAGGGCTGAGGGTGCTCACACACAGCAGGTAAACAGCTTTTTATGTCCAGATAGACAGCCAGGGCTAAACTGAGCTGTTGCGTGCTGGCTCATGCTTTGCAGTGGGAGCAGATGCTGGTGAGTGACTCTTATCTGGGACTGGTGCTCCTCTTGTTCACAAGGCAAACCGTGGCTGCAGAGCAACCCAAAGCCTAAACAGGCTGGGATATCCAAGATACAAATGACTTGGTGTAGTACACATGGTAGGTATGTACCATTCCCAATTCATTTCCCAGAGACCTGGTGGGTTACAACATGCCTGAAGGTGGAAAACGTCCCCTCTGCCATGTGAAACCCTGGTTTATGCCTGAAACTACTCCTCAATTTCAATATTGAGCAAAATCAGCCCCTACATCTCAATTCTTTGCACTGTCCTGCTGGCAAATAAGTGACAGCTCCTGGCACTACTCAGTTGTCTCAGGTCAGAGGTACATGTGTCCCATCAACATGATTTGTTCTTTCAGAGACAGCAATCCTTGAACAGCACCCAGAGTCTGTCAGTTTTATCCTGCTTCAGCCTGGCCAGAATTCCTGACACACTTAATGGCAAAACAGAGATTTAGCAAATGAGACCTAGGATCAGTCTGGCAGCTGGGTATTTGTTGAATGTCTGTGCTTCTCTGACCCCAGAGAGCCCAAGACAAGCACCCAAGTGGCTGTGCCAAAACCTACTTTTGTTTCATGTTGCTGATGTTGAGCTGCAGCTCTGAGCACTGACACCTCAGTTTTCACAAAGTCTCCTTCCTCCTGACGCTGCCCTTTCCCCTGACAGCTCCCCTGTCCTGCCCTTTTCCCCCAAACAGACATCCTAACTCCACCTTGGGGACGCACATTGTGGTCTTTTGAGGTCAGGATTCAAACACAGACACAACTAGCCTCTAGCTGGTGCTGGGGCTCCTGGACCACCACATGATTTCTATTTATGAATAAGCACTGTAATGCCATGTCACAGGACAGTTTTCTTCCTGACTACTAGATGTGGTTGGTGTCTCATTTTTGTTAAAAGATGGTTGACATATGCAGCACCTATTTATGAGCCAGAGAACCACGAGTGTGTCTCTCTAACAGGGTTTATGCCCAGGTAGAGCGGTGCAGAAGCACACCAGCACTCCTTTCCCTGGGCCAAGCGTAGACCTGGGATGGGCACTTACCCAAAGTGTGCTCCACGCTGCTGCCTTCCTACCCTCTTCATCCTCCCCAGGTACAGGCAGTGTCCAGAGGGCGATGACATGGCCATGCATGTGCATGCCACCAGAAGGTACTTGGGGAGTGTAAGCTTTGTCCTAGCGAGTCTGGAAAAGAGCTGATTTGTAATTTTAACAGTTACTGATGTAACAGTTGGAGGTTTACCAGGGAAAGCGGTGTTTGAGGAGAGGATGAGATGTCTGGCTACGCAAGGTTTATTCCCACCACTGCTCCCAGCTGCAACACCACACACTGTTCCAAGAAGTTGTGCTCATCCCATCAAGGGACACACAAACCCCAACCCAGCACTTGTGTATTTTTATTTACTTGTTAGTTACTCACATTTGATGAGCCACTGAAGGCCAGCCTGAGGGTGCATATTAATGTCTGGGAACATCCCTACCATAGAGTGTGCAGGCAGGTTTGGTGGAAGATTACTTGCAGTCTCAAAAGGAAAAGAGAAGCATCAAGAACAAGGGTTTCTCGGTGTATTTCTAGTCAGCTAGGAAACCCATCCAGCTCATCCTTCTGAAAGAGTCCTCAACTATTGGAAACAAGTCCTGTGCACAGGCAGGACTGCCCCTGTTCCCACAAAGTCACTGGGAAAGTTGGTGCAGAATATCCCACAGAAGAAGGGGATGTATTGTTGCAGCACCTGAGGCAGAGGGCACCCACAACTGCTCCAAGTATGACCATGTCTGCAAATCTGACAGCAGCTGTGTCCCCTTGACATCCTCATGTGGTTAGAAGGATCAAGAGCAGAAGTACAGGTAACAGGGATGAACAGGTCTTTGTTCGCCAAGGAGAACTGTAACATCCCAACAGCAGCAGAAGACCCAGTCCTCCTGGTGCTTGCTCCTCTGGGAATCTAAGCCAGCTCCCTGATGCTGAGAGTTAATTCAGCTGTGCAAAGGTGCAAATTAATGACAGCTTGCCTCATCCCTAAGGATGCTGAAACAGTTTACCAGAGCTGATTCCTCCTAGCCCTGCTGTTCTTGGTCTTCTGCATTTTCAGCTGTGAAGAGACCAGTATCCTTGTGGGTCCAGGCTGACAGCAATGGCTCCCATCAAAAGCAGGTAGGCTGAGAGGGGATGGCTTTTCTTCTCTATGGGACACACTGGTAGATGGTCTTAAGAATATGTCTGCTTGAAATCAGGATGCGCTGCTTGACAGGACCCCAGGATCAGTCGCTGTAATTTGGAAGTCACTTTCTGCTCGGCTGAAAACTTTTTGTTCACTCTAAATATTCTTCCAATTTGCTAAATTGCAGGTGTGCAAATAGAGCATGTATTCACTGTGCGACAATGAGCTAAAATCCCCAGGAATTAGGGAAGATTTCACCATGTGGGCTACCAAACCCTGTGACTCAGTCCAACCCACCTGAATTTTGAACAGAAAACACTCAAAATGAGCAATTAAACCTAAAAATCAGAGGATTGAGAGTTCTTGAAGAAATAAAACAACAAATAATTTAAATAAAAATTATCACCTTTTCAGTTGGTTACTGGGGTATTTATGAAGGCAGTACAAACCCAGGCAGGAAGGGGAACACCAGAGGGGGCTTATTTATTAAATCTTATTTTCTGGGTACCACACAGCACAAAGACTGAAGTTAGACCTGATCACTCTGTGACCTTAATGTGTGCAAAGCATTGCTCTCTGTAGATTTTGAATCAGTCCCCAAAGCGGTTCAGCTGCACGAGCACAGCTCAGAGCTGGAGCAATGCAACCCAGCCTGTCAGCAAGGCAGATATGTTCAAATGTTGTGTTGTGCTAAACTGCCTGTACTTTCAGATGAAGCTTCATTGCAGCTAACACTGTTACTTCTGCATTATGAAAAAGGAGGCTCAGCTCCGACAGAAGTGTTTTGATACCTCTACCCCTACACTTACTGGGTATATTATCAACTTTCTTCATGTTCCTCACATGAGTGAACTTAACTCAGTTCTGGTGCCAGCCATGGTGTGCAAACCAGTCCCTTCTGTTAAGAAATCTTTTCCCCCAAATATCCTTAACATGGGATGGGAGGAAATACTTGGCAGTTTGCCTACCCCTTCTCCTTCCAACCCAGCTCTCCCTTGAGAAGTGAAGAGCAAATTAAAAACAAAGGCTTGAAAATGAGCTTGGATTAATAAAGATAAATTATAAACATCTTGGAAAAATGCTTTATTCTCCTTTCCAGAAAGTTTTTTTTTTTGCCCTAGTGAGAGTTTGAGTGTTGTGGCCTGGGCCTGGGGTCGCTCCAGAGCAGCACGTTTTATGCCATGGCTCTCTCTAGTGGCCAGAGCACAGAAAAGAAAAAGACTGTACAGCAGCTCAGTGGCAAAGCTCCAGCTGCGTCTCAGGACAGACACGTGTAACTGCACCAAGGGAGCTGGGTTCCAGGGTGCTGACACC